TGCATGATTTTGAAATAGTTGTATAAAGTACCTGGCCAAATACCTGGCACCTAAGAGTTGCTCAGTGACTGACAGCTCTCTTGAGTTTAGAAGTGATTTTTTTTTCAATTTATGCCATTAAAGGTCCACAATCCCTAATTCACAGTTCAGAAAGCCCTAAGTTCTGAAAACCATTTTTCTTTCATAATTTACAAACCCATCTCCTCTGTGAATATTCATAAAACTTCATAAGATACCAATGTGTTTGATTATAGTACTACCCCAGAGGTAGTACTTTTATGTTTTATGTACCCCATTATCTTTTCTAAATTAAAAAGAAAACCAAAACAACTCAAAATTCCCACATTTGGCCCCAAAGGTTTCAAATCAGGGACCTGTACCTGTAATATATTCTCTGTGGAACCAAATACAGTAAATATGCTGAAAGTAGAATGGCTAAGATTCAGGCAGTCTAAATGCAGCCTTGCTATTATCTGTATTTAATTCTTTGGGTTTCAAAATCATCACTGGTAAACTGAAGAAACTGATTTTAATGTAATGCTTTTATTTAAAAAATATATCTGAAAATTATTTTGTATAGTGTCAAACAGTGCTCATACTGAAATATTTTGGCTATGTTTTCTCCAAAAAAAATTCCTATGTGGAGCTAAAAATCTATGAATAAAGAATGTATTCAGGATGAGGGGTGTAGCTCAATGGTACAACATTTGCCTAGCATGAACAAGTCTAAGCTGGATCCCAAGCAAAAAACAAAACGGAAACAACAACAAAAAAACCCTGACCATTTTAACACCAAATACTAGGTAGTAAAGAGTGGTACCATGAAAGAATGCTATAGCTAGATTTGATTTATTAGATCATGGTTCTGCTACTACTCTATTACCTTGAGTAACAAAAGCTTTTAAGTTTTTCTGTTTTATGGGCATTAAAAAAAAATACCCTGGTTAAATATTTTTAGAAAGGATAAAACAAGATAAAGTGAAAGCACAGTGCCTGGCTGCATTTTTTTCTCAATGAATGTTTATTCAGTAGTCTACTCTATTTTAATCATTGTATTATTATTTTAATTAATCGAATGTTGAAAAAGTTGAGTGCTTTTAATTTCTCATAAAACCAACTTCCCCATTATTCAGGCTTTTAAAATTATGTTATCCTTTTTTTCCTTCTTCCTGGTTCTGGGGATTGAACACAAGGGTGTTTTTACCACTGAGCCACATCCCCAGCCCTTTTCAGTTTTTGAGACAGGGTCTCACTAAATTGACTTCAAAGTTTCAAACCATGTCTCAGCTTCTACAGTAGTTGAGATTACAGGTGTGGACCACCACACCCAGTCTGGGATTGTCTTTTTAGATAAAAGCTAATAATAAAATGTATGGACCCAAGGTTAATAAAGTCATACTCATCTCGCACATATCCATAAACACCAAAAAGAATACCTGAAGAGATATAAGGAAACTGGCTTATTTACAGCCATAACAACTTAAGTGTCATCCTGTGCTTGCTTGGTAACAAATTCCAAACTACCTTGAATTTCCAGGTTTCTAAGTTTTCCCTATAATCGAGGGCTTTTTTTGGTATGTGCATTACTTTTAGTTGTAGATGGACACAATCTTTATTAGTTTATAATGTGATGCTGAGACTTGAACCCAGTGCCTCCCACATGCTAAACAAATGCTCTACCACTGAGCCACAACCCGAGCCCCAACTGAGGGATTCTTGAAACTTTTTTTTTTTTTTTTTTTTTTGCTACAAACATTTTTAGAGTCCAAACACACATTCTTGAAAAGAAAGCAATCTGGAATCTTGGGAAAACTGTTAATTTTCATTGTAATTATAAACAATAAAAGTAACTTGTAAGAGCCTCTGTTTTCACATTTAAATTTTCAATGGCAAAGACTCTTTGTATTCTCAAGTATTAAACAAAAGATATCAAGCACACCTCTGTTACAAAGAGGAGCAAGTAAGACTGACTTGAGTGACTTAGATCATTTTCAACAAGGGAGGAGGATCCCTGGAGAATATACCAAGCTGGATCAAGAAACCTGGTTTCTAGTGAGGGCCAGTCAGTAAATCTGAGCTTTCTTTCTCATCTTTTACAAGTGGTACTTTCCTTCCTTCTATACAAGGATTAAGAGTCACAAAAGCACTCTGAAGTTAAAAAACACCATATACTGTTTTGGAATCACCACAGACATTATTACTACTTCTCAGGCAGAAGTGATTACTATGGGGAATTAAGACTAGGTTCTAGATTCAATTTTGGGACCTACTAGTAGTATGTGATACAAAGCATGTCACTTGTCCAGCACATTAAGTCCTGTGAACTGAGTTGTCCTTTCTTTCTAGTTCCAGGATTATAGTTTTATGCTATTAATTTGAAACTAAGGCTCAACATATCTGAGCTGTCATAAATACTGTAAAAGGTAAAGATAGCTACCTTGTATGAAAAAAATTACTTAGAAATAACATATTATGCTGGGGATGTGGCTCAGTAGCAAAGCATATGTTTAACATGCATGAGCCCCTGGGTTCAATCCCCAGCACCATGAAATAAATAATTTAAAAAGAAATAATGTACTACCAACCTAGACCTCCATGGAAAACCATGCTGTATCCAATCAGCCCATTATATGCTTTATTTAGATACTGGTGTCAAAGCACCATTAATTCATTTCTAAATGCCCTTTAAATATTTAGGTTTATATTAAAATAAACATTTACAGTAAAAACAAGAACTAGAAAAATGGTCCATGGACAGAAATGTACAGCAAATGATGCACTGACATTGATATTTTTCAACATATACTTCTTTTTGATTGTTTTAAAATCAAGTCAATGTCTACATTCTTGTTGTTAAATGATCTAAGGTAATATAGATTCTTCAATTACACTTTGAAACTATATCATTTCCCTAAGCTAGGACTTATTTATAGCAAAATTTGACAAACAACCAAACTCAAGTTTATTTGTTTCTGCTTTATTATTGGTCATAAGTATATTAAAGAATCTTTAAAAAATAATTACAGAGACTTTATCACTAAAATATAATCAGAAACCAAACTGCTCTGAAATTAATAATTTGAAAGTGACAAAAGAGAAGCCCACAATATATTGACTTCGCTCTTCAAATTATGGGGATAGACAAAGTTTAATTATTTTTAACAACACATTAAGAAAAAGTTGTGCAGAAATCCCAATACCTCCAAAAAATAATAAATATTCTTAATATATTTATGTCCACAAGTGATAACCCCAAATTTTCCCAGTAAAAAAGTTCTGTGGATATTTCATTATCTAAATATAGGAATACAAAAAAATTTAAAATAAATAAATAAATAAATAAATATAGGAATACAAATTCATCACAACCTAGTGTATTGATTTCATGGCAGGGAAAAATAGTAATTTAGTTTCACCACACAGTAATTACTTCCAGGAGACAAAAGATCAAATCCAGATAAAATAAATCTTTATTATAATATTGTCTAATTACCTGATCCTAAGGAAAAATATCCTGATGAAATACACTGGCCACTTTCTATGCCAAAAAAGTATTCACACTGTAATTTGAAAGAGCCATCTAGACTCCTTACCAAAAAGCCTGCAAAACTTTTGTCAGTAGGTGGTGATTTATAGAGATGCGGATTGAAGTTGGATGGCATAGAAGCAGTCAGGTAGTTAGCTCATTCTCTGCATTCCCACCCAGGCATAGGAGTACGCAGTCCCATACCACCACCAGTTGGAAACGGATCATCTAGTAGGAGACAGAATGGTGTGCAACAAAACCGTTCCCAGGATCCCAAACCTCTTTTTAGAACTCTCAAAATACTTCTGTTGCCCACAAAACTTGGAATGAAGGGAAATCGACAAGCATGAAAACGTTTAAAAACTAAATATCTGTTTAGAAAACACTATACAAAGTAGCCAATCCTTTATAGTAAGTGTATTTATTTACAACAGCTCTCCTCTTTAAGGCCTTAACAGATCGGACTAAACCACACCCCTCCGTAAATGGCTCATTCCATACAACAGCCTGGAGAATGGTAGAGGGCGATCCCACCGACCGCTGGGGGAGCAGCAAACTTGTTGAAATTCTGAGAATAAAGTCTGATGGTTAACGGAATCTAGCCCCTTTATGATTAAAAAGTCACTCCGGGGAGGGAGAGGGTTACAGAAATATCCCGAGACGTGTAGGCCGGGTTAGGGCGGAACGAGAACCACACGGGATTTGGGTCGTGCTGTTAACCCGCACCTCCCTGAGTACGGACATTTCCCCGAAGGACATTTCTAGTCGGAGGAAAGAGCGAACTTCGGGGTTAAAGTTCTCCAAACTCCGGGGTGGGGAGAGAGAGCCGTGCATTATTTTTGGGGGGTCCAATCCCTCAACTTTTTGCTCTAAGGGTAAAGAACGGGTCCCGCCCACGTCCGGCCCGGGAGGCGGGGCCTGGAGCGACCCCGAGGACGGAGGCGGGGCCGGGCAGCACTGCTGCCCCTCCCCCTTTGCGTGGAACACCCTGTCCGCTGGAGCTGGAGGGCGAGTGCCCCCACCCCGACGCAAGGCGCGGGATGAAGGGGCAACACCGTGCTTGCGCCCCTCCTCACCGAATCTGGGGGGGCCGAGCGCGAGTCTGCCAGTCTCCCTTACGGGATCTGAGGGGCCCGCCCCGAGGAGGTGGGGCCTGCTTGGGGGCGCTGACTTCACACCCCTCCCCCTCTGGCCCTGGCGGTTCGGGAACACCCCGCCCGCTCCAGTGCGGCGGGTGGGGGAGGCATCAGAGCAGACCGGAGCCCTGCAGCGGCGCGGGTAGGGGAGGGGCGCGCGCACGGGCGCGCTGCCGCCACCCCCGCGCGCCAACAGGGCCCCCCACGCTCAAGGGCGCGCGCGGGCCCCGAAAGGGAGGAGGCCGCGCGTGGCAACCGGGAGGGCTCCGTCTCCCACTCCTTCGCCACTCACCCCCAACCCCCTCCAACCCGCTCCAGGCCTCGGACTCCGCACTGACCTGACAGGCCGAGACATGTTCGCTGTCGAAACAGGACCGAGTCGAGAAGCCAAAGACCAGGACCCCCCCCACCCCGCGCGCTCGGCGCCCCACCCCCCCCGAACTTCGGCCGATGGGGCCGCTGCCGCCGAACCCCGAGATGCTGGCTTCTCAAACTCCGCCGCTCCTTGGTTCAGGGCCCCTGGATCAGACGAGCCCCCCGCTCCCCCGTCTCTTCAAAATGGATGAATCAAACCAGCCGAAAATGCGCCAAAGCAGCGGCACAACCAAACCCACTAGGGTTTGGGCGCCCCGCCCCAACACGCTCTGTCATTGGCGGCTTCTGCCAGATGCGTCCTGCTTATTAGTCAGTTTAAATCATCACGTCTCTCAGGCCCCGCCCCTCCCCCTGGCAGGCCCCGCCTCCTCCGTGAGGTCCTGTTAATCAAGATGCTCTGAGAGCTCAGGGCCGCAAAACAAAAATGGTCGCTGCTCAGCCCGCCTCCTGGCTTCCACTCCAAAGTTGCAGATTCGTCTTGAGCTGTATCTTGAAATGACTAGAAAAAAAGATTTATATAGGGTTCAACGTGGCTCAGTGTTCATGAAATGGTGTTTCATTTCGTCTGCCTTGATCACTTAGGAAATCTGCTAATAGCAAAACCCGTGGGCTACGCCGCAGATTCGTCACTAAGGGGCTGCTTTAGAATTGGAGGGAAATTCCTTAGGTTCAAAAAATTTGACCTTAATCCCGAAAGCCCTTAAACCTGGCTCCGGCATTACCCTCAGGAGACCAACCACGCCGCTGAAGTAGAGAATCAGGATCATAATCAAAGATGTCTTCATCCCCAATTTACGTTCTCCATTCTGGACCTTGAGATCCATTTCAGGGTCATTAAAGTCCCGGTCTAGAACGTTACTATTCCAAGAAGCAAGAGGTGTATAATAATTTGGAGAATGAGCTCTGGTATCATAAAATGTTTCCTGTGGAATCCCAGATCCACCACTTCATAATTGTATAACTTTCTCTCACTGTGCCTCAGTTTTCTCATCTGTCAAATGGGAAACAAGTACGTACCGCACAGGCTTATTAGGGTTGAATGAATAGATATGTGAAAAGCCTTTAGGACAGTCTGGCATACATAAGTGCAATGTATACGTGCTACACTTAATTTTTAAAATATGACCACATCCTTGGGTAGAGGCGGGGCTGACTCCCAAATCGTAAATGAAGGTAAGTCAGAGCTTTCTGTTTAAATCCACAAACATTTGTTGTGTGCCTAAATTTCAGAGATCAGAGATTTCAGAGATCCCTATGGGACCCACTAAAGTTTACCCCACCATTCATTGTAAATAGTCTTCAATCCCTGCCACAGAGCGTTTATAACCAACTGAAGATGCAGTCCCCAAACAAACACATCAAAACACAACAAAACACATCACCATCTGCCTCCTGAAAGTTTCCCTTTGTAAAACGTGGCTTCTCTGAGGGAAGAGAATAGTACGGCCAACCAGTGAAACATTAAACAAGTTATCTCTTGTCTACTCCAGGTCCTGCCAACTTCTCCCCTACCCTGCTTTTTCAAAAATTATGGCTAAAAGCTTACACAAGATGAGCATATTTACGTGTACGGTAGTATGGCATTAAGTACATTCATGTCATTGGGCGATCATCACCATCATCCATCTCCAGAACATTTCCATCTTCCAGGAAGGTAACAGATACTCTGTGCAGGTTAAACACTAACTCCCCACTCCCTCTCCCCACACCCAGCCCTGGGCCTCACCATTCTGCCTTCAGTGTGTATGAATTTGACTACTCCACGAAGCTCTTATAAGTGGAATCACATAGTTTTTGTCTTTTTGTGGTTGGCATATTGCACTTAATTAATATCTTCTAGGTTCATCTACATCGTAGCAGGTGACAGAATGTCCTTCTTTCAAAGGCCAAATTGTATGTATATACTACATTTTGTGTATCCATTCATCATGTCTGGACACATGGGTTGCTCCCACCTATGGGTAGTGCCTGCACATGAGTGTGCAGATATCTGAGTCCCTATTTTCGCTTCTATTAGGTATATACCCAGAACTGAAATTACTAGATTACATGGCAATTCTGTTTAATTTTTTCAGGAATGGCTGTATGTACCAATTTATATTCCATCAGCAATGCACAAGTGTTCTCCTTTTTCCACATCTTTACCGGCACTTATTTTGGCTTTGGTTTTGGTTTTATAATAGCTATTCTAATAGGTATCCAGATATGTTTATACTAAGTGTCTTACCATTGGTATTATTATCAGAATGCCAGTGCCGAGATTGGGGTGGTGCTGTGATCAAAAAGTAGTTTTGTTGGAGGCTGTTTTATTAGAACAAATTGCTATTATTTTAGCAAACACTGTTATTTAGTATTATGAAACGAGGCAGAAGCAGTCTTGTTAATCATTTATTAGGTAATGAATGGAACTAGCCATAGTCAACATGTCCAGGCAGGGAAAAAGTTCACAACAGGTCTTCCAGGACTTGGCCTGGTTGTGTAGTCCAAGGCCAGCACATGGATGGCCACTGAATAAAGAGTCTCCCCATCCGAGGTGTGAGTCATGTCCTCCCTGTCTCTTCACTGAAGCTTCAGCTGATGCTTTCCCTCCATTTGCTCATTTATTCACTCATATTTCAGCCAACACTGGCCAGGCACAGTGGTACGTATCTCAGTGGTGCATGCCTGTAATCCCAGCAGTTTGGGAGGCTGAGGCAGGAGGATCGTGAGTTCAAAGCCAACCTCAGCAACTCAGTGAGACCCTGTCTCTAAATAAAATATAAAAAAGGGCTGGGGATGTGGATCAGTGGTTGAGTGCCCCAAGTTCAATCCCTAGTACAAAATAATATAAGAGATTTCATCCAACACTGTCTTTTAGGAAGGAAGTAGCTTAACATTTGAACTTCTAGTTTACTTTTTACTGGACAAATTCAGAACTTCTGCCTACTAGAGCTAACAGAACCTAGAATGCATGCTCCAAGGTAGATTCCCACTACTGCACCTCCAATCATCCCTGTGTGCCTATCTCAACCATAACCATTTTATTGGAATCTGAAGACACTGATCATATATGATAGGTCAGATTTTGAAAGCACCATCTGAGAACTCTGAAGAGACAATATGTGTAATAAAACTCTGAAAAGCTATAAAAACAGAAAATGATCAGTTGACAGAAAAGGCAGTTATTCCTTTTCTCCGGAAATGAAATATAGAGGAGGGTGTGATGTTGTGTGCCTGTAGTCCCAGCTACTCAGGTGGCTGAGGCAGGAGGATCACTTGAGCCCAAGTATTTGAGGCCGGCCTGGGCGACATAGTGAGACCCTGTCTCAAACAAAAAACCACTTGGCTTGTTATCCCAATGCTTAATTTTCCCTATGATTTTAATTGTATTTTGAGAAGTAGTCTTTTCCTTCTTCATTGCGTATATTAAAGACAGTCAAGGCAGGGGATATATGCTTAGCATGCACAAGGCCCTAGGTTCAACCCCCAGCAAAACACACACACACACACACACACACAGGAAGATCATAAGTTCAAGGCCAGCCTCAGCAATTTAGCAGGGTCCTAAGCAACTTAGCGAGACTCTGGCTCAAAATAAAAAATAGAAAAAAAAAAAAAACTAAGGCAGGCCTGGTGGCACACGCCTGTTATCCCTGTGACTCTAGGAGGCTGAGACAGGAGGATCACAAGTTCAAGGCTAGTCTCAGCAACTTAGCCTCAGAACTTAGCAAGGCCCTAAACAACTTAGTGAGACGCTGTCTCAAAATGAAAAATAAAAAGGGCTGAGAATGTGGCTCAGTGGTAGAGTGCCCCTGGGCTCAATCCCTGGTACAAAACAAAAGAAAGAAAAAGAAAAGACTGAAGATGTAGCTTGGTGATAAAGGGTCCCTGGGATCAATTCCTAATATGAAAAAATAAATAAATAAAAAGACAGTCCCTGCTTTTACTGATCACAGGAACACAGAAAGGTACCACTCTTTGAAGACTCTTCTAGGAAGTTAAAGAAAGCCTCTTTATTTTTTTTTTTAATTTCTATTTCCAATCTACTGGCTCTGTTCACCCTGCCACCCTAGAAGGAAGGATGGGATCTGTAATCTGTGGTAGGTTTAACAGGCAACACTGCTTTCATAAAGCACAGCACTCACATCCATCCTCAAATTAAGTGCATACAGCTCCATAATAAAGTCTAGCTCCTTAAGCTAGCATTCAAGCTACTAAAGAGAGATTTCTTAAGCCCAGATCTAATATGACTTTGCTAAAATCCCTCCATGAATTAGGAAAAATATTTGCAAGATATAGCAAAAGATTATTGTCCTTAATATATAAAATAAATCACTAAGAAGGGACTGGGTGTAGCCCAGTGGTGGAGTGTGGGTTTAGCGTGGAGAGGCCCTGGGTTCAATCGCCAGCACAGACAGACGCAGGATGGTGACTCACAGAAGAAATAAAAATGATGAATATGTTTTAAAATACGTTCACTTATAACAAAATAAAAGCCAAATAATTTAGTTTTTTTCACTTCTGAAATCAGTAAACTGTCTTGTTAAGGACATTGGAAAACTGACTTCTCAGACCCTAGTAATGGATGTGTATATATGGATATATTTTACAGGGAAATTTGATACAAAATTTAAACAAAATGTTTATATCCTTTTGGAGTATTTCTAGGAGTTCCTAAAAAAGTTTTCACGTAAATTCAGTAAATTGATAAATATACAAAGATATGAGTTCATAACAGAGGAAAAAGGAGTACCCCAAGTATCCAATAATAGGTAACTGAATATATAAATTATAATAGCTCCATACAATCCTATGTAGCAATGAAAAGCAAGAAAGTAGAATTCTGTGTTCTTACATGGGAAGCTATCCAAGATACATTAAAGAGAGAAAAGCAAATTGCCAAAAGCCATATATAAGCCTGTTCTTATTTTACTTTATTTTTTGTAGGGGGAGGGGCTCACAGCTGGGACTGTATATGTAGAGAAATACCTATAATAATATCCAATCTCTTAATCAATTTTTATTTCAGAGATGACATTACAGAATCCTATCTCCTTTAAAAAATATCTATATTATTTAAATAGTAAAAAATTGTCTTTATTCTTGGTCCTACTACAAACTAGCTGTATGATCTTGGACAGGTTCCTCGTCCCCTCTACTCTCAGTTTTTCTGTCTATCATAAGCACAATGATCCCTGAAAAATTTTGGGGTCCTCATTCCTAGAAACTGTGACTATGTGGGGGAAAGTAAGCTTCTAATCTGTTGATCTTAAGATGGAAAATCGACCTCGATTATCCAAGTGGGCCCCAATAGAATCACAAGGGTTCCTTAAAAGTGGAAAAAAGGATGCAGTGGTGCGTGCCTATAATCCTAGCAGCTGGGGAGGCTGAGGTAGGAGGATCAAGAGTTCAAAGTCAGCCTCAGTAACAGCGAGGTGCTAAGCAACTCAGTGAGACCCTGTCTCTAAATAAATACAAAATTGGGATGAGGATGTGGCTCAGTGGTTGAGTGTCCCTGAGTTCAATCCCTAGGAAAAAAAAAGTGGAAAAAGGAGGGGCTGGGGGTGATGCCCAGTAAAGAGCGCTTGCCTAGCATGCACAAGGCCCTGGGTTCCATCCCTAGCACAGCAAAAAAGAAAAGAAAAGAAAAGAAAAGAAAAAGGAGCCAAAAAAGGCCTGAGTGATAAGAGATGAGAAAAAACGGCTTTGAAGATGAAGAAAGGGGGCCCAGAAGCAAGAAAAGAATGCTTCCCTATAACTAAAAAAATGCTGTCCTGCCCACACCTTGATTTCAGCCCAATGAGACCATGTTGTGCTTATGACATCCAGAACAATTAGGTTTAAAAAAATGGTGTCTAAATATGACATTTAAAAAGACTAGTATTTATGTATTTTTCAATAAGAAAACAAGATTAAAAAAATCCTTTCACAGGTACTACATCCCTTCACTTGGTACTACAAGATGAAGTCCAAATGCTTTGGCATGGCCTACAAAGATATCCTTTATTTGACCCCACTTTAAATGTGTTTTCTCACCTCTACTCTTGCAATGGCCTGCTTGTAAAATGCATATGTTGAAATCTAATCCTCAATGTGATGGTATCTAGATGAGATATTTGAGAGGTGACTAGGTCATAAGGATGGAGCCCTCTTGAACGGTATTGGCGCCCTTATGTAAGAGGCCAGAGGGAGGTTGTTTGCCCCTTCTGCCAGTTAGATACAGCAAAATTGGTGTCATCTATGAAGCAAATAGCCTTCACTAGGGCTGGTGTCTTGATCTAGGACTTCCCAGCCTATAACACTGTGAGTAATAAATACATTTCCGGTACTTAAAAATTACCAAGTTTAACACTTTGTTATAGCAGCATGCACAGACTAATACAATCCTACTGCCACCTCCCCGCTTCCAGCTCCAGCTGTGACGAATATCCGCTTTCATCTGAGCAAGTTGTGCTATGCATCACATTTCCCCTGGCTTCATTCCCTTTATTCCACCTGTCTGAAATGCATTTCCTTCCATAGCCCTCCAGTTGGCAGACTCTTACTCAGTTTGACTGTCCTGTCTGTCATAAGGCTTTTCTGATCTCCCCTCTCAAGCTCTACCACTCTTAAGTAGTAAAGACTTGGCACTTTCCACACTGAAGAGTTCTTTCCATGTCCCTCTGTTTTCTGATCACCCTTCCGGGACAGGAGCCTTCTCCTCCCCAGTCTTGCATCCTACATACTTAAAGAAGTACCTGGCACAAAATGGGCATACCACATGGGCCAAATGAATCACCTAAACAAGCTGCCAATCATCTTTCTAATCTTATTTTTTAAAATATTTTTTTGGTTGTAGATGGACATAATACCTTTATTTTTATGTGGAGCTGAGGATTGAACCCAGTGCCTTACACGTGCAAGGTGTGTCCTCTACCACTGAGCCACACCCCAGCCCTAACCTTACTTTTTAAAAATATTTTTTTAGTTGTACATGGACACAATACCTTTATTTTATTTATTTATTTTTATGTAGTGTTGAGGATTGAACCCAGTGCCTCACATGTGCAAGGCAAGAGCTCCACTACTGAGCCACAGCCCCAGCCCCTAACCTTATTTTTAACACAAACTCTTTGGTCCATTGACTACTTTCCAAACTTGCCTAAGCATTTCAAACTCCCTTTCTGCCCAACCTGAAATCTTATCCCACCTTTTTTTCAATCATTATCTATCTCAAATTTACTTTAAGAACTCTTTTTTGACCTCTTTCTTCTTTGGATTTCTAGGGCACAGATCTTATATCTCCTACAATTCCTGCTGCAACCCTAGATACGTAAATAGCAGGTAATCAGATGTTTCAAGTATGAAAACAATTGAACAAAAAAGTCTGCATTAAAAAATTAATGAAAAACAAATTTACTGAAATAAATTAGAGGTCTTGATTGGGTTGTGGAGCTATGGCCAATTTGGGGTCTTCCTTCTCATTTCCTTAATGAGCAAGTATAAACATTCTCATCATAAAGGTATTAGAAAATTTATCTACCCACTTAACATATTACTCTTTCCACCACACTGAAATTTGTTAAATGGAAAAACTTCAAGGATGCCACCACCACCAACACACATATACACACACACACACACAGTGGAAAGCACTGTGATGTAGCAAAGGGCTATTTCTGGAGTTGATTAAAGTTAAAAAAAATCACTATTTTGAGAAAAGTCATTTTTTGGCCCCAGTTACCTCAAATACTTGTCCCATAAGGTCAATGTGAAATAAAAATTTTCTGTGTGAAGTGCTTAGGAGAGTATGTGGTTTGCAGCAAACACACAGATGAACACAGCTACTGGCAGCAACAGTTGAAAATAGAATGGCTGTTAAAATCCCTGCACTTGCAAATAAGAAAAGTGATATGCAAAATTAAATGACAGTCACTGCACGTGGTGACATATCTTAGTAAGTGGAACCTGTCAATTAAAGATCTTAGGACACGTGTGCACTGCATGCTATTCAGGGTGCACTCAATTTGGCCCCAAATTTAATCACATGTCACTATTCCATATATAAGCATGTTCTCAAAAGCTATCTTAATACAAACCAAGAGTTTCAAACCCCAAAGGGCTCAGTTCTGTTTCTCTAAATGTCTAGGCTTATTTTCTAAAATGAGTTTTCCAGGCCAAACGTTTCCCAGAAACCCAAATGACAGAATGGAGATGGGGAATTAGAAGACATGCAGTTATGTCTTGGCTTTATTACAAATGCAACCAGCTGCCTTTCAGTCAGTCAAATTTTGAGACATTTCTTCCCTCAAATGGAAAATGGGAAGAACTGTTGGCTCTCTAGTTTGAAAGATAGTATGAGAGGCGTATACAGCTTGTAGAGCCGAGGGAAGAGTCCTATACAGAATCAGGTATTGGAATCCAGTGCTTTGGGCACTCATCGGAAAATACCTGTCTCATTGCCTTCCTCTCCCTCTCTGCTTTCTCCTCTTTATTCCCATGAGCATGTAATTAGCTCCTTATGAGATGGGCCTCAACTTGAATGTGAATCAAATTCAATTTGTGTGAAGAAAAGTTATCAAAATAATACCCCTCACTCAGGAAACCCTGTTAAGAGTATGTGATGGTTCATTTTGTGTATCAACTTGACTGGGTCACAGGGTGCCCAGATATTTGGTCAAACACTATTCTGGGTGTTTTCTGTGAGAGTATTTTGGATGAGATTAATAAATTAGCAAACCCCAAAAAGCAGACTGCCTCCTTAAAGTGGGTGGGCCTCACCCAATCAGTGGAAAACATGAATAGAACATAAAGATGTCTTCTCTCAAGCAAGAGAAAATTCTCCTCCTCAACAGCTGAAATACTAGATCTGCCAGGCTGCTGACCTTCAAGTGGACTCAAACTAGAACCCTTCACTTTGCGAAATTTGGACTTTAGATAGACTCCATTACAGTATGAGCTAATTACTTATAATAAATACATATACACTTACCCATCTATGTACCTCCATTTTTTTTGTTTCTTTGGTACCAGTGTGATTGAACTCAGGGGCACTAGACCACTGAGTGACATCCCCAGCCCTATTTTTTTTTTTTTTTTGGTATTTTATTTAGAGACAGGGTCTCACCGAGTAGCTTAGGGCCTTGCGATTGCTGAGGCTGGCTTTGAACTTGCTATCCTCCTGTCTCAGCCTCTTGAGATACTGGGATTACAGGCATGTGCCACCATGCCTGGCTCTCTCCATATATTGATATCTATATTTCTCTACATACCTCTTTATATATTGATATCTATAGCTCTCTACAATTTTTTTTTGGTGTAGTACTGGGGATAAGACTCAGGGGAACTATACTACTGAGATGCATTCCTGTCCCTTTTTTATTTTTTATTTTGAGAGAGGTCTTGCCAAGTTGCTGAGTCTAGCCTGAAACTTGTGATCCTGCTGCCTCAGTCTTGCAATAGCTGGGATTACAGGTGTGCACCACCAAGTCCAGCTTCTCTATTTCTCTCTCTTTTTCACTTACTGTTTCTATTTCCCTGGAGAACAGAACTCTAATACAGATCAATACAATTATTATACTGAACCTCTGCAGATAAAACTTTAGAGGATTCAAATCATGTCTGAAATACCTTAAAGGAAAGAAAGCAGGATTTTTCTAACAATAAAATCACTTCTAGATATATTCTGCAGTCTGTAGTATTTATGGATAAATCAAAAGCACATGTCGAGTTCTTTCCAACATACATTTCTTTCTAGTGACTTCCTACTTATTTCAACATGCACCTTTGGGGATTATCTGGCTTTAATAGCTTGAGTCACTTACACTGCGGGAGTCTACCCAAACAGTGAGTTAAGAGGGAGGGAGGGAGGGAAAAGGGACACTGAGGTTTATTTTCTTGGGTAATCTGATTTTATGAAATTAGAGATTTTTACTTTCTCTAACCATAGTCTTAGATTATGTCAAATGTGGGCCACTGCCTATAAAAGGTTGGCAAGAAAAGTCTCTTGTGAGATGGGACAGTGTCCTGAGGACACAGACACAAATCAACAGAATAAAGTTAATATGGAAATAATAGGAAAAAAATAAGGAATCCAATTATAACTTAGCTGGGGAGAATGACTTAGGTAAATCACCCTGGACCAGCTTTGGATCATTACTTTTTAAGTGATATAAAAGGAATTCATCACCCTATTGCTGAGGACCATCCCTGCCCTATGATTGCTTTGTCCCTACTTATTGGGTCACTTGCTATTCTGTTCAAAGAACAAAGGTGGGCAGTCACCTTCCCACAGTTCTGTTCTCAGCCCTTCCTTGGGTTGCTCAGAACACCCTTTAGGAAATTCTTATGACTTTATTTTTTGCCAAAGACCAGACCAATGACAAAAGGAAATTTTGACTCAAATATAGAAACATCTCTAGGGAGGGGCTACAAAAATGTCCACGTTCTAAACAATTTTACCAAGGAGTGGCATCCAAATGATAGGACCTAGTTATTTTTAGTATAGTCACATTTCCATTCATGTAAATATTTTCTTCCTCCTCCTCACCCCCACCCCATGTTACTGGGAATTAGAAACAGAGCCTTGGTATGCTAGACAAGACTCTATCATTGAATTACATCTCCAGTACTTTTTATCTTTTTCAAAAAAATTTATTTTTATTTTTGGTACCAGGGATTGAACCCAGGGGCACTTTACCACTGAGCTACATCCCCAGCCTTTAAAAAAAAAATGTTTTGAGACAGAGTCTTGCTAAATTGCTTAGGGTCTTGCTAAGCTGCTGAGGCTGGCCTCAAATTTGCAATCCTCTTGCCTCAGCCTCACAAGTTGCTGGGATTACAAACTCTACCACCATGCCTGGCATATCTTTTATTTTGAGACAAGTTTTCTCCAAGTTATCAAGGCAGGACTTGCCTCAGTCTCTCACATAGCTGGGATCACAGGTATGTGCCTTTTCTTTAAGGATAGGGGAATAGAGTAGAATTAGTTATATTTCAGTGCTGCCTTTAATGATTTTTCAGGCCTATAATATTCACCAGTTGGGAGAAAAACAAAAATCCAGAAGGGCTGGTGGGCCAGCCTCCAGCAATGCTCAAAAAGGCAGGCAGATCCTGAGTCAGCAAATGGGAAAAGAAAACATATTTGGTTTTAAAATGGTCCCATCTCCAAGCAGTATTGGGGGCATTAAATCAAGTTCTGAATTAGTACTAAGCAACTGGACCTAAGCATTGGTACTAGCAAATTAATTTCTTTAAAACAGAGGTTATAAAGATAAAATCTCCAATGCTACAATATTCTTGAACTACAGGTATAAAATAGCACCTTAACAAACTGACATTTAAGGCCATTAACTATTAACCACCATGAATATGAGACCTACTTTCCATTTATTTGTGATCTTGTAAAAATCAATTTTCTCTAAACAAGTGGAATTTGTTACTCTACTATTATCTTTAGAATCACTGTAATCAAAATCTTATCTAATGGGCTGGGGATAAGGCACAGTTGGTAGAGTGCTTGCCCAGCATGCACAAGGCCATGCGTTCAATCCCTAGCACCACAAACAAAACAAAACAAAAACACCTTATCTGAAAATGGTAATACAAAAAAGAACTTCAAGGTCTTAAAATATCAAGCAAATTATAATAACTGACATTAACAAACAAGGAACTGGGCACAGTGGGGACTAGGGCCTGAGGTCCTAGTGACCTGGGAGGCTGAGGTAGGAGGATGCAAGTTGTAGGTCAGCTTCAGCAACTTAGTCAGGTCTTGTCTCAAAATTTTTAAAAATTATAATATTAAAAAGGGTTGGGAATGTGGCTCAATCCCCAGTACCAAAAAACAAAAAAAATGGGCTGGAATGTAGCCTAGAGGTAGGGTACTTGCCTTGCAAGTGGGAGCCCCTGGGTTTAATCTTTACATCGAAAATTAGCAACACGTCACTGAAGGCTTGGCCCACTTTGTCATTCTTTTATTTGGCTCCTGGCCTCTTCCTTGGGACTATGGCTTTGAAAGCCTGTGTGTATGAGAATCACCTGGAAAGTAATTGAGCAAACACAAACCTAGGATTCTTGTGTGTGTGTGTGTGTGTGTGTGTGTGTATGTATGTTGCTGGGGATTGAACCCACTGCTCTGTGCATGAGAGGCAAGCGCTCTACCAACTTAACTATATCCCCTGCCCCAAATGCAGAATTCTTTTTTTGGGGGGTACTGGGAATTGAATTCAGGGGTGCTTAACCACTGAGCCCACTTTTTTACATTTTATTTAGAGACAGAGTCTTGCTGAGTTGCTTAGGACCTCAATAAATTGCTGAAGTTGGCTTTGAACTTGTGATCCTCCTGAGCCACTGGGATTACATGCGTGCACACCATACCTGGCAAACCCAGGATTCTTTACATAGTAAAGACCTGACTCTCAATTTTTACAAAGTTCTCCAGCTGTGGTTTCCAAATCTGGTCATTCAGAATTACCTGGGAAGCTTTGACAAGAACAATGTATTCCCAGGCTGCACCCCTGGAAGTTTGATTTACTAGATTTGAGACTGGGATCCCTAAAATCTTAAAACTTTAAGAAATTTAAAAAAAAGTTTCCCAGGTAGTTCTGATGAGCCAGACTTAGGACATTTATTTAAGGTCTACCAAAGAACTTAGGCCCATAAATTCACTACGAATATGCATAACCTTGGGTAGGTTGTAAATCACCATCCTAGGAAGAATTTAACAAATTAAACCATCTAGAAGTGATTCGACACTAAAAACGCTGCCCAATTTAGCACTTAAATTACCTAATGATTTTCTGTCTATCCACTCTCCACCCCCAGGCCAAGGCCTGTACATAATATTTGTTTCCTATGGCTGTGCTAGCCACCCACACTGTTCCTAAAGTTGCTGCAGTGGATTCTGTTCTGTTAATCTCACCCCTTTTTTCTTCCATTCAGGAGCCCCAAAGCTTTGAGGAACAAGGCCCCTTGAGTATTATCAAGCCAAATGATAATACAGCATCATGTCTCAGAACATCAACCCAGAAAACCCAGAAAATCCTAATGTGGATTAATTTCTTTGTGGAAAGGAATGCTCTCATTATACAAGACAGGCAATTTAAAAGCTTGACTATTTTTGAAGCTGAGAGAAAATTAATCATGACTAGAAGTTTCAAAAATAGAGTAACTACAGTTCACCATCAGTAGCCCCCAATCCATAGATGTTCAGCCCCCATCTTCTACATCCCAGAATCAGAAGTTTAAATTCCATGTTCAAGACAGAAAGAATCTGAAAGCAATTGGCCTGTGAGGAATTTAGGAAAAGACAATTGATCTCATTTTCCTCTCAATCATATATCAAGTGGTAAAATAAGGTCAAAAGTAGATGACAATTATTTTTTTATTTTCTGGTACTGGAAATTGAACCTAGGAGCACTCTACTTCTGAGATACATCCCCAGTTCTATTTATTTATCTATTTTGCAGTACTAGGTATGAACCTAAGGGTGCTCTACCACTGAGCTATACCCCAGCCCTCCAGCCCTTCTTATTTTTTATTTTGAGACAGGGTCTCACTAAGTTACCCAGGCTGGCCTCAAACACTTTCTTTTCATTTTTTTCTTTCCTTCCTTTTTTTTTGTCCCCCGCCTGTACTGTGATTTGAACCCAGGGCCTTGTGCTAGGTAAGTGCTCTAACCACCGAAATACATCCCCAGTTTTTTTATTTTTTTATTTTGAGACAGGGTCTCACTAAATTGCTGAGTTGGCATCAAACTTGTGATCGTCCTGCCTCAGCCTCCCGAGTCTCTGGAGTTTCAGGTGTGCACCACCACACCTGGCAAAGAATTTTGACTTTGAAAACACAGATGCTGATTTCTAATTCTTCCCACAAAGTTCCAGATCATAAATTGAGGGATGAGGTGATCATTCTTTCACAGAAGACACTGACTGGGCCACATGAGCTGGCAGCAAGTCAGAGCCAATATCCAGGAGGTGCCGAAATACACATGGGTCCCAGGGGTCTTTTTAAGCCACAATGGCCCTTCTTACTGGATAGCTGGCAGGAGACAGTTTGAATATTAATGAAATTGCTGGGTGGGCCCAATGGGAGTAGATGGAAAGGCCTTCTAGAACTGGGATAGAAACAAGTCAAATCGTACTAGCAGCAGGCCCAGCTGGAAGAGGACTTGGTTTGTAGATTGATGTAGTTCCCTTGGGTGGACAAAGACATACTGTCTTCTCTGGAATTGCTCATCATCTTTTCAATGAGGACTCTACAAATAAAGAAATGAAAAATCCTGAGCAAATGGATGGAGCAAAAAGAGATACAGCAGGCAGATTCATAAGCAGATGACATTCTATAAAGCTATAGGTTTAAAAGCTCTTGGTCCCCAGTCATTATGGGAAAGAAGACAGTATTCCCGATGTTCAGGAGCTGGCATTCCAGTGGTTCAGTCTGTTCTGGTTTGCTCAGAAGCAAGAAAAGATGGTACCCAGGGCAACGGTACACGATGGATAAATCTTTGTGCCTGTCCCCAGGTCAGCATGAACTACTCACCTCATGGCTTCATTAATATTTTTGTTCTCCTTGACTGATGTTTCTGTCCAACCTGTGAAACCATTCTCTTTACTGAACCGGTCAATCTGGTCCCGGCTTACTGCCCAAGGGGACAGATCACACTGACAAAGAAAAATACATAAAATGCAACACCATAAACTTCCTAGGAAGAGGAACATGTCTCAGATACCTGTAGGCTTAAAACAATTCTCTACCACTGGCTAAGAACATCAGTATCTAAACTCTACAGTCAACATTCTTCCCAAAGAAAGTCACATTCTCTGTGGGGGGAAGAAAGGGGGAATGGGAATGGGAAAGACAGTAGAATGAATGGGACATAATTTTCCAGTGTTCATATATGAATTCGTGACCAGTGCAACTCCACATCACGTACAACCACAAGAATGGGAAGTTATACTCCATGTATGTACAATATGTCAAAATATATTCTACTATCATGTACAACTAAAATGAACAAATAAAATTTTAAAAAGGTGAGTTAAATGGGAACATAAATAAATAAATAAATACATGCATACATACACTGGACCAGAAATACATGTAAAACAGCTGTAGTTTAATTGCTAAAATGTGGAAACAACCAAGTAGTTGATGTATACTAGAATGGATAAATTTTCTTTTTATTTGTTCTAATTAGTTACCTATGATAGTAGAATGCCTTTTGGCATATCATAAATAATTGGAGTAAAACTTCTCATTCTTCTGGTTGTACATGATGTAGCGTTACACAGGTCATGTAATCATATTTGCATATAGAGTACTAATGTCTGATTCATTCTGCTATCAAAGAACACATAAATTTTCATTAATATAATGAAATGTTATAGAGCAATGAAAATGTGCAAAACCTTCATATTTTAGCTGTAGATGGACACAATACCTTTTTTAAAAAAATATTTATTTTTTAGTTATAGTTGGGCACAATACCTTTATTTCAATAAAAAAAAAACTTTTGCTGCATGAAACAATATGGGTGAATCTTACAAATGTGACATTGAGCAAAAGAGGAGACACAGCAAACTGTAAGCCATATTATTCCTTCTGTGTAAGGTTCAAAGAGGCAAAATCAACGTATTACCTTAGTAATTAGGATGAGGTCACCTTTGACGAAAGGGAGAATAGTGGTTAGGAAAGATCACCAGGAAGTTTCCTGGGTTATTTTCATATTTTATTTATTACTTCAAATGCAGATGAATAGACATATTCATCAAATGTCTACATTTCAATTTGTTTAACTTTTTATAAATTATAAAATCTAATATTTTTTTAACAAAAAAAAAAAGAAAGAAAGTTACATTCTCTACACCTCTTCAAAGGAAGTAGAGAAGATCTTGCCAACTCGAAAACGGGAAACAGAGGCTCACTATCACAGGGCATTTTTAGATCCACTTTCTGACCACAGAGGCCAGGGGTCATTTTTTTAGATCGGCCATGTACCTTGTTGGCCAACAGCAGACAGGGCAGAGGTTCCCCATTGGGCAGTGTTATCTTGCTGTCCAGGTCCTGTTTCCACCTCTGGCTGTTGCTGAAGGTAGTGGCGTTGGTTACATCAAACATAACAACACAGGCAGAGGCATCTCGATAGTATAGTCGTGTCATGGATGTGAAACGCTCCTGCCCTGGGGAGAAGAGAAGTTCTTGAGAAGGTGACCCTGAAAACCACTTTCAGTGTCCTCTGATACCCTGCCTGTCCTTCCTTCACTGTGGGCCAGAGCAGTTTGCATATAGGTGGTAGAGGACTCCTGGTTTTCTATCTTGGATTTTCTAATCTTATTAAGCCCAATTATCTCCAGGCAGATTCTGCACTCTGATTGCTCTAAGTCCAAATCCCTGCCCTGCCATTTGTTATCTATGTGACTTTGAGCAAATCAGACTCAGTGCTTCAGACTTCTCATCTGTAAAGTGAAGATAAAAGCTTTTATGATAGGACTGTTAGAATTAATGAATCAGTAAATTTGAAATACTCAGAAGAATGGTAGCACATAATACAGATTCACTATTATTACTGTCTATTTTCTGGGGATCTTGTTTCTATGGTCAGCTGAAAACCTACAAAAAGCACCCACCTTCTGCTACGGAAGCATCTACCTAGGGTCTGGACAATCCACCACCTCACAAACCCTTCCACACAGATTGCTTTTCATTTATTCAGGACAAAACATCTAAAAAACATCTGCAAAAGCTCTATCTCCTCATTCCATGTATTCTCAAAGCAGCTCAATCATTCCAGCTTCAGAAGAAAAAAAATTCTGATTTTTACTGCTTTTTTTCTGAGATCTTGTTGCTTAAACCAATATTTCTTCCCTTGTTCCTCTCTGGCCTTCCCAGTTTACCTGCAATATCCCACAGCTGGAGCCGTACCATCTCGGTGTCAGACCACTGGAGAACCTTCAGAGCAAAATCCACTGAAAAGATAAGTTTATTATACTTAATAAAATTTACCTTAAAAAAAAAATCCAGGGATAGATAGGCCAGGCACAGTGAGTGATGCACACCTGTAATCCTAGTGACTTGGGAAGCTGAGGCAGGAGGATCACAAGTTCAAGGATAGCCTCCGCAACTTAGTAAGGCCCTAAGCAATTTAGGGGGATCCTGTCTCAAAATTAAAAAAAAAGAAAAACAAAGGGCTATAAATGTGGCTCAGTGGTTAAGTACCCCTTGGTATAACCCCTAGTACAGAAAAAAAAAAAAAAAACTCATATGCAGTTACAACTAAAGGGACATGCAACTCTAATCCCATTTATGTATGTGTAAGCCTTCAATGGGCTGAGATGAGCCTGCACTTGTACATTAAGTGTGGGACAGATAATTCATATTCTCTAAAGAGATCTCCAGCTCTTCCTCTCCTGTCAATTTATTTGCTACTTGTCTCCAAGGCTGAGGTCAGGTAGTGACAGTGATTATGAATTCAAGTATTCTCAAATTAAACAGTTTCAGGAGATTTAGGGGATTTTCTCAGGGAGGAGTGTTGGCGGGGGGAATGGAGGAAATGAGATGAACACGGTCCCATTTCTACTATCCTCGTTCAATTTCACTGTTGGTTTCTAATCAAATTGTATTATGAAAAAACCACCCCGGGGAATTCTACATCCATAAGGCTGTAGGACTCCAGGCGAGAACATGATATATGAAGAAGGTCCCCAAGGATTCCTAAGAAGAGGGCACCAAATAGATGATGCTTAAGAGTTATGCTGACAGGGCTCAGGTTGTAGCTCCATGCTGAAACACTTGCCTAGCATGTGTGAGGTACTGGGTTCGATCCTCAGCACCAAATAAAAATAAATAAATAAAATAAAGTACTGTGTCCAACTGCAACTAAAAATATTAAAAAAAAAAAGTTATGCCGAAACCTACCAAATCTGGAGATACTGAGACTCTGAGAATTAAGGATGAACAAGTATGGGGTAGGGGAAGCTTTTTTTTCCCTTCATATTTTAGCTGTAGATGGACACAATACCTTTTTTAAAAAAATACTTATTTTTTAGTTGTAGTTGGGCACAATACCTTTATTTCACTTATTTATTTTTATGTGGTGCTGAGGATCGAACTCGGGGTCTCGAACATGCGAGGCGAGCACTTTGTTGTTCAGCCACAACCCCAGCCCTGGACACAATACCTTTATTTTATTTGTTTATTTTGATGTAGTGCTGGAGATCAAACCCAATGCCTCACACATGTGCTCTACCACTGAGCCACAACCTTGGCCTCAGGGGGAAGTTTTTAATAAGGAAATAGAATAATTCCTGAGGTTGGCAAATATATTCTTCCACATCTGTGACAGAATTAAAAGCCAGATCCAATTATATTATTTACTAAGAGAAAACTAGAACAATTCATAAAAATGAATAAGCATAACATTTTAACCCAAATCTATGAAATAAGGTCCCTCATGTTTTTTAGGAGTAAGGGGACAGAGTGGTAAGGAAATAGTCTGAAACTTAAACAATTCTGCTGGAGATATGTATACACACGCGTGCGCGCGCGCATATATATACATATATAAAAATATATATATATATATATATATATATATATATATATATATATATATATTTCTTTTTGGATTGGGTTTTTGCTAAATTTGCCCAAGCTAGCATTGAACTTGTCATCCTTCAGACTCAGCCTCCTGAGTATCTGGGATTACAGGCATGTGCCCAGCTGCTGGATTTTCTTAAGGAGGATATTTTAATTGCAAACTAGATGGTTATTAATTAAAAAGAAAAAAAATTCACATGAACACCAGGACACATTTTCAAAATTTACATTAGCACAAATTTTTTTCCTCAACAAAGTTCTTGTATGTGTTACTGGGGATTGAACCCAAGGCCTTGCACATGCTAGGCAAGTGCTCTACCACTGAGCTACATCTTCAGTCCAAAAAAATTACTTTAAGAGATAAGTTTTTGAGTTACTCTTTTCCATCACCAGCTCTTCTTAGTTAAATATCTTCTAATGAACAAAAAGACATGTCTACCTCTAGAAAAAAACAAATTGCTCAGCTGATTCCAAAAGGCCACACGAAAGAAAGAAATGAATTAACTCTTTAGTGTTCCTCCTCTTCCCCAGTTTGAGAGGAAAAGGAGTGGGAATATAGGTCAGAGAACTGGTATATTTTACATTCTTTGGAGAATTTCTCACATTCTTTGAAGAATCCCTAGGTTACCTTCATTCAAGCGATCAATGGACAGAAGGCAGAGTTTATTAGCTGGGATGGGCATTTGACAGTGTGGCAGAGGGCGGAGGCTCGTTTGTGTCCCCACTGCTGGCCCCAACCTTGGGTCCTTCAGACCAGTTGGCCCCCTAAGTTCCCTTGTCTCGGCCATGTTAAATCCTCTACTCCTTCTTCAACAGCTGTCTGTAACCTCCCGTGAGAAGCTGGGCAAAGCCCCCGCTGGCACCTAACCGACCCTACAGAGGGTCTCAGCTGCCTCTGCTCTTCAGAGATTGGCCCTGGACTGCTTGAACGCTGCGGGAGTTCGCAGTTGGTCATTGGTAAACAGCAATTGCTCACTTGGACTCTCCCTTCCCCATTTTTCATCTTTACACCTTTGCCCTCTTTCCAGGCAGTCGATTCCGACTGGGAAAACCTGGCTGGGGAGACCCAAGAGAGGCATGCAAACCAAACTTCACTCCCTCGAGGATCCCAGACACCTACTTCCTGACCCCAACAAGGATCCACCGGCACCACTCACCCGACGTGGTCCCCATTTCGGGTTCCAGTTGGGCCCCGGGTCCTGCCCGCCCCTCCCCCTGGAGACGTCTCACCTCCCACGGTGGATTTGTAGTGTTTGCTGAAGCTGTCCTGGGAATATCGCTGGACCAGCGACGTCTTGCCCACTGCGGCGTCCCCCACCACCAGCACTTTGAACAGGTGATCTCGGCTGCCCATGGCCAGCAGGGCGTGCGTTTTCGGGAAGCGGGAAATCGCCTATTTTAATCCGTTTGGCTTTGAGCCCGCTTCAAACTAAAGTGAGGCATTCTCAGACCCCAGTCCTTTTAAGCTGCTCTGACGATAAAGCAGAAAAGGAAACTTTGTGCTAAACCTAAGTGCGCTTCCTCCCCGTGTGCGGCCGCAGCCTGGGTGGGGCGCAGGGCGCCAGCTCCAGCTCCGCGGTTTGCACCTTCTCACCAGCCCGACCCGGCTGCCGAGAAATCGGACCGGCACCACCGAGCCAAACCCACCCGGATTTCCCCCGGAAGGTTCCAGCCAGTGCCGGGACGCGGGCTAGCTTATTATACGGCTAGGGACATACGATGGGTGGCCTCCCCTCACTGAACACAACAAATTACAAACTAGGCGCAGCCCACACCTAGATACCCCAGACCCGGTCCTGCCCCGGCCGCGAGGTGCCTATGGCTTTCCTACGTAAGCGTCACGTGCGGGCCTGCCCAGAGCACTACATTTCCCACTACACTTCGCGGAGAAGAGACCTAGCCGAACGCGGAGACTTGATGCCAGGCCTCCGGGGAAATGTAGTTTCTTCACTATTTTTGTTTAGGGAAAACCACTAAATTCGAAGGCTCTCAAAACTCCTTCAACCTTCAGGAATCCTGTTTAAAAACAAGTATAGGTCAGTAAAGATCCCTTCAGAGATTTATTTGACACGACCTCACCTATCTAAATCTAAACCCAGATGTTTCCCTCATATTTTTAAACATTTTATGGAGTTAAGATTAAAATTTATTCCATTAATAAAAGCCCAAATTGATACTGGGGTTGGAGGCACACACCTGTAATAATGGCTATTTGGGAGGTGGAAGCAGGAGGATCGCAAGTTTGAGATCAGCCTCTGAAACTTAGCGAGACCCTGTCTCAAAAAATTTAAAAAGGCTGGGAATGGGGCTGGGGATGTAGCTCAGTGGCAGAGTGTTTGCCTAGCATGTGTGAGGCACTGGGTTTGATCCTCAGCACCACATAAAAATAAACAAATGAAATAAAGGCATTCTATCTACAACTACAAAGAAAAAAAAAAAAAGCTGGTAATGTAGCTCAGTGGTAGAGCGCCTCTGGATTCAACCCCCAGTACCGCAACAAACAGAAGACACCCAAGCATCATCCATCCTGCTCCAAAAGAAGTTCATTTCTTGTTCCTTCGAATAGAAAGACAAGTCTAGAACCTTGTGAACGTGGTCTCATATTTTCCGTATGACACTACGCCAGGCAAATGCAGGAAAACTTGACCCATGAGACTAACCATTAGAAAAACTCATGCTAAAAGTTACAACACTTAATAACTAGCCATAGCAATAAAGACCAACAAAAACAAGAGACAGTTCCTCATTCACACTTTCACAATCCCTATACTCATTCTAGTTGAAAGCCAATTTGAGTATACTTCTCCATTTGTTGCTGCTATTGCTCCTGCATAATAATAAAACTACAATTGGGCAAATAATTTTAAGTTTTCAGCCTGTAATTTTTCTGACTTGCCTGACCTTTAGTGAGACATGAGTTTCACGACTAGCAAAATGAGATCCACTTTTAGTGCTTTTCCGGGGAATAGAGGAAGAGAATCTTCACGCTGTGGTATGACAGCCCAGGGCCTGACACCATGAAATCCTACCCAGGACTCCTGATAGAGAGGCTTATAGTCTTTGAGGAAAGAATTTTGCATAGTGTGCAACATATTTAGTTCAAAATGTTTGTTACAGAGGTACATAAAGTTTATTTCAGCTACTCATCTTTTTTTTTTAAATATTTTTTAGTTGTCAATGGATCTTTATTTATTTATATGTGGTACTGAGAATCGAACCCTGTGCCTCACACATGACAGGCAAGTGCTCTACAACTGAGCTACGTCCCCAGCCCCTCAGCTACTCATCTTTAAGGATCCAGTCTTCTTAGTTCCTGTTTGCTCTGACATAGACCACATCTTGGCATGTATTTCCCAATTAACTTTTATGATGCTAGTTTTTCTTCTTCATCCTACTTCTCTGATGATCAACATTTTAAAAATTATTTTTTAAGTCTGATTTTTTTTTAAAGAGAGAGAGAGAATTTTTTAATATTTATTTTTTAGTTTCCGGCGGACACAACATCTTTATTTGTATGTGGTACTGAGGATCGAACCCAGCGCCGCGCGCATGCCAGGCAAGTACACTACCGCTTGAGCCACATCCCCAGCCCTCAATATTTTTTTAAATAAATTTATTTTAGTTTTAGGTGGACACAATATCTTTATTTATTTGTTTGTTTGTTTGTTTGTTCATTTATTTATGGTGCTGAGGATCAAACCCAGTGCCTCACACATGCTAGGCAAGCACTACCACTGAGCCACAACCCTATCCCCTGATGATCAACTTTTAATTTCTGATTTCTTTCCATCCATCTTTTTGGTGGGATGTCCTTCACATACCAAAGCTGGAGGACAGCCTTCATCATCAAAGATGGGTAATTGGGGCTGCAGTAAACCTGAATAAACAAATTCTCAAGTAAACCTTGTCTTCCACTAGCTTCTACCTCACCTGCGTAGATCTCTTAGTAGAAATCCTAGAATTTACTACTGTAAACCAGATATCCACCTGTCCTGTAATTCCTTTACAAATACATTGTTCTTTGTCTAAAAAGTATAAAAGCATCACGATTTAGTCATTTCTTTGGACTTCACTCTCTTTAAAGATCATCATGTACATGTAAATTTAATAAAACTTTTATGCTTTCTTTTGTTGATCAGGTCTTATGTAAATTGGGTTCCTAGATCAGTCAAAGAAGCTACATACAAAGGGGTTGTAGAGTGGATGTCTCTGCACCTATATTGGATTATTGCAGTTACATATTCATTGGTTTTCCTGATTCTAGTTTTTTCTCTTTGATTCATCCCATACAACCTGGCCTAAAACACCACTGTTTGTTTTTTCATTGTCAGCCAACTGTCTTTCCCACACTGGCCAATCTCCCTGTGAGAGACTGGCCAGATGTTCAGAGCTTTCTGTACACCTCCTTGCCTCCTCCACTAACCAGCTTTATCTCACCTGATCTTAAATGGGAATTTTCCTCTTTCTACAAGATGAGGACCCTCATACTCTTTATTTTTTTTTTATTGGTTGTTCAAAACATTACAAAGCTCTCCCTTATACTCTTTAAAAACTCAGTTTCAGTTTTTATTTTGTATCTTTGTTTAGGATGCTTCACCCATCAAATACTCTTCAGGTTTTAGCTGAATGCAGTGGCACATGCCTATAATCTGAGCTACTTGGGAGGCTGAGGCATCAGGATTATAAGTTCAAGGGTAGCCTTGGCAAAATAATGAGACTCTGACTTAAATCAAACAATAAAAAGGGCTGGGGATGTGGCTCAGTGGTAGAGGGCCAGTGGACTCAATCCTCAATATTGAAAAAAAAAAAAAAAAAACCACAACAACCCCCAAACCAAAAAAAACTCTTAAGGTTTCTTTCCACACATCTAAATCTTACCACAACTGAAATTCTCAAATGTTAGCATGCACGAGGATCATCTGAGGGTGCTTTGTAAATATGGATATTCTGATTCTGTAGTGCTGGGGTAGGGCCCAGAGGAACCTGTTTTGGGCAAGTACTCATGTGATTTTCAGTTCAGACTCTGTGATGAGAAATGGTACTTCAAGGCCTGACTTCAACATCAACTAATTTTTGAATATTTTCCTTATTATATCAGCTATTATTCATCACCTGTGGCATTTACATTCTATTTGACTTTTGGTCACCTAACTATATGACCAATTTATAATTATTTACCTTATAAATAACTCTCATGTTGCAAAGTAAACAGAGTCTTCAACATTTTGGCTTTGATCCTGGTAATCTGTGAAAGGAGCTACCATTTTTCCAAATCAGAACCGTGGGGAGTCAAGATTGGCAAGTCTCAGTCCCTCCCCTAAATCACAGAGTTTCTACCAAAGGAGTAATTTTATCACTTTTTTTGGTGGAGGTGGGAAGTGCATTTCTTCCATACTAAGTTGCAATTCTGATGGTGATTTCTCAGAGAGACAGTTATAAATAAGAGAGGGAAAAAAACTGTGAAGTGCCAAACAACTGCTTTGCATCTGCATGTTTGGAACACCGTGTTTTGGAAGCTATGAGCCTTGCTCTCTTACTATCACGCTTTTGATGGGTGTCTGTACCTCTCATTTTATGCTTCCCACTTTTTAAAAAAATTTAAACACATAGAAAAGGTAAAAGAAGAGTACAATTCGTACCAGTACGCTCTCCACTGTTTTACCAATTACTAACATTTTGTGACATCATACCTCTCTTGGTATGTGTTGAACCATTTGAAAGAGAATAGCAGCACTCCAGCCTTAAATACTGTAGCATCCAGTTCCTAAAAATGAAAGACTCCTACAAAACCAAAACTGTTTTGCTGGGAGCCATTAGCCAAGTAGGTATGACAATTTCCTTGCCAGCGTACCCCATGTTGCTGACATGTTGCAGTGACATTGAATGTAGGTGACCTTGCTCAAGGACCAGGGCGGATCCGGGATTAGGGTGTTCCTGGTTTAAGATAATTGGGTTTAGGGCGTTCCAGGTTTAAGATTATTCCTCCTGGGAATAGGGCGTATCCTGCTGCCTGAGTTCCCCTTGAGTGCTCAGGGGATTCAGACAGTATATTTTGGAGATAGAAGCCCAGTGGATTTGGATTTGGGCAGAGAACGTGGATTTGGGCAGAGAACGTGGATTTCCCCAGAACGTGATTGTAGACGGCTGGTGTGAGTTCGGGAATAAAGAGTTGCTGTTTGAATCTACAAGCTGTGTGGTGGCTCGTGATTGTGTGCCCAGCCAGACTGCGGCATTTGTGCCCAGCCAGACTGCGGCAACCATAATCACACCTAATAAAATTACCCTTAGTTCTATAATGTCAAGTGAGTAATTTACATTTATATGTATTGTCATGGTTTGGATGTCCCCAAAAGCTCACTTGTGAGACATTGCATGAAGGTTCAGAGGAGAAATGATTGGGTTGTGAGAGCCCTAACCCAAACAGTGAATTAATCCCCTGATAGGGATCAACTGAGTGGCAACTGAAGACTGGTAGAGTGTGGCTGGAGGAGGCGGGCATTAGGGTATGCCTTTGGGGTATGTATTTTGTAAGGTGCTCTCTGATTATCCTGTGAGCCGCTTCCCTCCACCACACTCTTCCCCCACTGTGTTCAGCCTCACCTAGAGCCTTGAGGCATGGAGCCAGATTTCTATGGACGAAGACCTCTGAAACCATGAGCCCCTGTCACGAGCAGCTTCTCAGCCTTGTCTGGTTACCAGGAGTTCCCTTCCGGATATCTGCACTGGACCCCGGACCGCGACGTACGCGAACACCAAGCACGAACTCGATTGCCTTTTGAAATGCTGGTTTATTCGCACACCACACAAAGCAATACACGAGGTGGCTGGCTCA